GAGTTCCCACCCCACGCAAGGAACGCCAAGATGAGGCCTCACTCGCCAAGAACATAGGTGCTGGGGCACCCCAGATGTGAGAGCAATTCCACAGACACTCTGCTCCTGCCTCAGGCTATCAGGCCTCTGAGAGGTTAGCCTAGGCATTATGCCCTCATCCTGCTTTCTAGGCCTTTCTCATCTCCCTGGCCCTCCCTTAAACCTAGTCGCCTTCTCTTCTCAATCCTCTATCCCATCCTCCTTTATGCAACCTTTCTTCCACCCACTGCTTCCACAAGTCTTGGGGTGTTCATGGTAGTCGCAAGCCAAGGGTAAATAGGGCCAGCCAGGCCCTCAGGCTGTGATGAGCAAGTTGGGAAAATGGGACCAGAATGATAACTGGGGTGGAAAATGGGCAATAGTAATTGTTATTATTGTGTATCACTTATATAATTAGCCTTACTATGTGCCAGGCACTTGACATGTACGGTATGAAGTCATACATTTGTGTTAACTCCTGCGTTAACTCATAACTCAAATGGATGAGCTCATACTACAGCTGTAACAGCCTCCAAGGTAAATGCAACCATGAGTCTTCCCTGTAGAGACGAGAAGACCAGCACAGAAAGGTTAAAGCGATTGGCCCAGGTCACACAGCTAGTAAGTAGGAGCCAGAGTCCCCTCTCGGCAGGCTGGCTCTACACCCTCATCATAGCTAACAGTCGGGGACACCAAAGGCTCTGCCCTTGAACCTGGGAAGCGGCTGCCTCTGGCATGGGAACCCAGGCTGGCCCATAGAGGTCCCAGAGAATCTAAAACTTCCATAATAGCTTTTGGAAGGTTTCCCAGCAGGCAGGAGGTTTAGAGTATCTATGGCTCCTACTTGGTAGCGCTAGACACTGAGACCCCGGGAGCTTAGGGAAGGGGGGCATGCCCACAGCTGCAGAGGGAGGGCAGGAGAGAGGAATGTGCACCTGCGCTGCACGCTACCGGGGGTAGAACCAGCGTCCAGGGAAGTGCACTCGTCCACACCTGCACGGCCGCTTCTAGGACGAGGCAGGCGCAGGGGGGCCCTTGCTGAGGAATGCAGAGAGGGAGGCCTCCTTTGTCTCACTCCAGTGGCTTTCCAGCAAAGAGCCCAGAGTGCTTTGCAGGCATCCATTTACGCGCTTAGCGCCTGAGCTGCATTGACTGACGGACAAGCCCCTCCGCCCAGCACCCAGGGACTGTCTCCACTCGCAGGTAGGCCAGCAGGAGGTCAGAACCAATTGGGGCAGTTCTGCTCTCTTCACGGCGCCGCACCAGCCAGGTGGGCTTGCTGAAGTGAGTGGTCTGAGGAGCACCCAGAACCAAAGGCCCCAGGGGTTCGTAACAGATAGGCCTGGGAGACGGACTGTGTACTTTTCAATGCTTCACCTCATTCAGCCCTGATGGTGAGGACCAGGTGGAGGAGCCAGGCGTGGTCCTCCATGTGTCCCAGATGAGGAAACTGAGGCTCAAGGTCGAAGCTAGAAAATGACATTTCGGGAACCCCGAACTACATCTCCTGGCCCCTATTCCAGTTCTATCTTCCCGTGTACCATACGGTCTCGAGCACCCGTGGCATTTAAAATACCAAGCCCAAGAGGGACTTTCGGGCCTAAATCAGGCTGGCCCAAGGGAGCCCATTCGGGGACAGTCTGTTTGCCTAGTGATGGGTATATCCGGGCCTGCCCAGACACTGCATAGACTTAGAGCTTGCCCTGCTTCCCCCGGCCCAGTCCTCTTCACATGAACTTGACCCCTTCATACATGTCACTTCCTGTCCTTGATGTGTCTTCTCCTGCCCTTTCACCATGCCCCCTGCCCTCAATGCCCCCTGAATACCCACCTTTCAGAATGACACCGTGACTGACTTGTACAAGGAAAATGAGGCTGCCCTCCCCATTTGCCCTATTCCTCCTCCTTACTGCTCTAAACCCCATTGTCCTCATCTCTGTGCCTTGCATGAATCCCTGTGTCCTTTATTCATGGGCATGGCGTCAGCCTTGGTATCCTTCCCCTTACACACTCTCCCATGGGCTGAGGTACATTTATGCTTATTTTGCCCAAGGACAGAAAGCTGTGTTAGACGCCGTACGTAGGCGAAGTCACCGGAGTCATGCCAGCAGCCTCTGGGTCGGGCTAGGCTGTGATGGTGGCAACTCCGAAGCCTCAGCCAGGTCCCCCTGGGTCCGTATTGTTGTTCCAAAGCCCCTTTGCAGTGCCCCATGCCAGGCTGATTGGGCTTTGGCTGTGTCTGCAGAAGCCAAGGCTTTGAGCATGTCTGGCTTCTCCCAGCTCCCCCAGCCGTGCTCATCTACCCTGCACAAACCCCCTCTGCCACTTCCTTTGCAATGTGAAGGATATCGCTCCCTTTCTCCATGCCTGGCTCTGTGCTAAGCACGCACCATGTTTCATCTCATTAATCCATGTCATAACCTTATGGATATTTTTATCCACATTTTACAGATAAGAAAAATGAGACTCAGAGAGAGAAAATAACTTGCCCAAGATTACATAGCTAATAAGTGATAGGGGCCAGATTTTAACCAACATGCTCTTAACCACAGAGCTTCATTGCCTCGTTCAGTCCCTATGGGACAGTCAGCGGAGCATCCTCAAGGTCCCCCATCTCTTCCTGGGGTTCTGCCTCAGATCTCTGACAACACCCTCCACCACCACAGTTTACACTCATGACGCCTGAGCCATATCTGAGTCCACTGAACTCCATCAAAGAATGGACTATTGTTTGAAAAAGAAAAAACTGGGGAGTGGGGTGATGACCCATTTTACTCTTTTCTTTGGGTAACTATTTAAGTGAGAGTTTTCCATGTTCCCTGTCCCTGTTCTAGGTCCCAAATGAAATCAACAAAAGCCCCGCCCTCATGGAGTATACAGTTTTATAAGTTACATAGCACAGCATAGAGAGACAAGTGCTAAGAAGAAAGATAAATCTGGGCCGAAGGGGCAGGAGTCCCGGTGGGTGTGCGGACTGCCTCTCTGGCCAGATGAGGAATGGCCTGAGGCCTCTGCCTCCTGTGGGGTTGGTCTTGCCCCAAGGCAAAGCATGGTGGTGAGGCTGTGAGTGTTTCAGGGGACAGAGGGCTAAGAGGCTGGGCCTCCCCACTTCTGCCTAGGTCCAGGAAGGGGCAGGCCATCTGGAGCTCTAGGTCCTGGTGTACAGAAAGGCCTTGCTGAACATGACAGTGCGTGTGGATTCTCTCCCATGACCAGTGAGTGAAGGAGCCCTTTATGAAATCTGGACTCTGGGCTGGCTCTCTGCAGGCCCACCCCCTCTCCTTCCTGCCTCGGCCCCCTCCTCCTCTAATTAGTTTCCGCCAAAACTGTGCAGAATAATTTTACTGAGACCTAAAGATTATAATTAGAAAAATAAATGTTAGCTAAATGAGTCATATACAGCATTTCACAATCAAATATAAATAATTTTAAAACATCATGATAGGAGGGAGAAGGAAATTAACATTTATTGACAGTGTCCTAAGTCCCAGTTCCTTTATACCTTTTATCTCATTTAAACCAACCCTCACTGCATACTTGTGACAACTAGGCATTGTTGTCCCCATTTTGTAACTTAAAAAAAAAAAGATTTTAAAAGGTAAAGTAGGGGCACCTGGGTGGCTCAGTCGTTAAGCATCTGCCTTCAGCTCAGGTCATGATGCCAGTGTCCTGGGATCGAGCCCCGAGTTGGGCTCCCTGCTCAGTGGGGAACCTGCTTATCCCTCTCCCACTCCCCCTGCTTGTGTTCCCTCTCTCGCTGTGTCTCTCTCTGTTAAATAAATAAATAAAATCTTTATAAATAAATAAATGGCAAAGTAACTTTACCAAAGTTACATAAATAACAAGGTTGGATTTTTAACCCAGATGTGTCTGACCCCAGAGTCTGTCCTATTTCTGTTTCTTCATCAAGCACCAGCTTAGCCATTTATGTGGAGAGAGTAATCTTGAACTACGTAGCCACCCATTGCCTCGGTTTCCCATCTGTAAAATGGGTACGGGGCTAATAGCTAACCTACCCATCTACCTCATGGTTCTGTCCCGGTGGTCACATGAGCTCATGGATCAAAAAGGCCTTGAGAACTTTAAAGCACTGTGAATATACAGTGTTAACCCTCACCTTGAATGTAGAAGTCATATGGCTTTTCTACTATCTAACCTTGTCAGTATTCAGTGGTACATTTCAACTTAGCCAGTCTAGTACATTTTCCACATTCCTGTTCCAATGGGCTCATCTCTGGCTGCTGGCTCTACACTGGATCGTCTGTGTTGGTGTCTTCCCAGGACTAAGTCCTTCCTCTTCCACAGCTGTCCCTCAGCCATGCTCCTTACCGCTGAGCTGCAGGTATTCCACAGTGGTCTTCCCTCTGGGACCCCAAGAGAGCAGTCGGCAGACACTCCTCTCCAGGAGGGGATGGTAATGTCTAACAATCGGCTTTCCAAGTGTACCACTCACATGACTGTTGGTTGATAATTTCATTTACAATGATAAGTAAGACAGCAGCGAAACAACCAAGACGTATCTCACTCATTTGTCAATGACAGGAGCAACCGCTGGATTGGATCGTTATTTTTGGATACTGGGAGAATATCAGCTCAATTCCTTGTGTTATTCACAATGTCACGGCTACAGACCTGACACACTTTATATTTCATCTACCTTGTTAGTATTTTCGCTATCACTTTCTTAAGTCTAGGCAACCAACAAAACCATAAATCAAGCCCCGATTTGTAGAGTTTGCCAATTTCTGTGGCATAAATATTCTCACCATGGCTGGTTTCTAACCACCCAATGTGAGATTACTGAATGTGGAGTTGGGAAGAGATGCACAGCAGCATACGACTATATGGTATCCCCACCATATGGATGTAAGAGACATGTAACTCACAAACAGAGAGAATAGTAAATTGAAGCCAAGTAATTAGGATGTGATCTGTTTTTAGTACTTATTATTGTTGTTTTTAATATAATGTATTCAATTGTAGGTTTATATAGTTTCATTTTCATAATGGCTGTGTTTAACAACCGGCTCACAGAATTCCTGAAAATTTAACAATCAGCCAATGCAAGGCAGCTCCAGCATACCGCTGTCCCTTCCCCTCTTCCTGTGAGCCCCCACAGGCCTCATGCCATGGGATAGCCACACCATTTGTTGAGTAACTCCAGCTCGTCCAGGTCCACCTAAATCAAGAGAACATTATTCAACATTCAGCTTCTCCAAATAAGCAGTGTCAACGGCAGTCCAGTGGAGTGACTTAATGATCTGTTTCCTTCAATAAACTGTGATTTCTGAATTTAATTCAGATACCTGAGTGTCGTTGTAAGCTGAGAGTGAGGTCCAAAGGCGTCCATGATGTAATATACTGGGTTTATACTTGGCAAGCAAACGACTTTGTGAGAAATGGATTTTCTTAGGCCGATTTTAGGAAGTTTGGGGTGTTTTTCTAAGAGTTAAGCCAAGGCAAAAAATAACCCTTGCAACATATCACTTTACAGCTGGTCAGCCTGGGAGAAACTATTCTGGGATATCCAAGCTAAGGTGCCTCTTTAAACTCCAGGCAAACTGGAATCAGGATGTGGGGTTTCTATTCCTGTCTGTGTCAAGGACTTGGTATGTTATCCCTGGCCAGTTGGTTCCCTGGCTGGTGCCTCAGTTTACCCTGTGGTGCAATCAAGTCAAATGCCTTCACCAAGGACATTAGACTTGAGCTCTGGAGAGTAAGAAAGATAGTTGCTAGGGTTTGCTGGAGGGTTCGGGGTATCCCCTGAAGGTGTCCTTAATCAGTGTAGACTCTAGGAAAAGCTAAATTTTAGGTGACCTCTTATAGGAAATGACAAATGAGCAAGGCTTACCAGAAAGCAACGGGAAGAGGATTAGAAGGAGGGGGCCTCCAAGCAACATCGGGGAAAATGTTGGGCTGAGGGCTAGAGTAAATTGCAGTCAGTGTTCACGTCTCTGGAGCAGCTTGTGGGCAAAGGATGAGCTAGTCACAGAAAAGGTAGGTGAGATGGGTTAGTGGTGCCTTTGTCTGGGTCTGATGAAAGTTTCCTAAATAGGAAAGGTACGTGATCAAAGTTAGGATTCTGAGACCCACGTGGAAGAGCACTAGGGACTTCCAAACTTGGAGGCAATACCAGTTTCAGAAACATCCCCGTAGATCGTGTCCCGGGTCGCTGTATAAATAGCCTCTGTCCCATTCATCATGAGTTCTTGTGGAACAAGCCTCTCTCCCCTGCTTAAAGTTTGAGTGGCCCTTTGGATGAAGAAGCGTCACTGAATTCTTTACAGTTCCTTCCTGTGCCTTGGACTTCTGTCATCTCACTTTTCCTGCCAGCCACCTAGGGGGAGGGGACACTATCCTAATTTTCACATGAGAGCAACTGAGACCTACAGTTGTTAAACGACCTACTCCAGATCCCAACTGAGGCTCAAACTCATTAAGTGGCCACAGATCATGTACCTCATCTACACAAATCTGTCTCTATCAAACCTGACTAGCTAGTTCGTTTTTCCCATCCACAGGCCACTTTTTGAAATAAAAGGCTGTTTGATCTCGAGAAAAACTAAAAGGCCAGTTCCAGTTGTCGAACACCACAAGCTGGAGAGAATCTCTTCCAAAAGCTCTATGGGAAGCCCAAGGATTCTCAATTCCAAAGCCAGGCAAAATTTGGATTTCCTCTATAAAGAGACAGTCCCTCCCTGTTTAGAACATACCCTTCCTCATTAGGCTAGTTCTATGTTTTGTAATAACTTTTGCTTACACCACAAAATTGTCATAGATTATGGAAACACACAGGCCTTGGAAAAAAGGTCCCGAGGCCCCTGGAAGTCATTATTCCTTCCTTTAGCAATTGCTGAGTTAAGCATCAAAAATATGGTTCCCATCTTGCTTCCCCCCAGCCCCCCTGCCACAAACATACACACACACTCACACACACGATCTGCTAGACATATGTTGAGAAGAAAGCAGGGATGTGGGGGTGGGAGAAGAAGATTCACATGTCATGAGTCAAGAGCTTAAGCATTTGAAAAGAAAAAGTGGGAGAGGGTGGGGAGTTTGCAGCCCTAGAAATGGAATATCCAAAGGATTTATTGCTTTTGAGTATCTCACAAGGCATTTTTTTATATAAAAATCTGTAGCTTATGGGTTTTTTTGGGGGGGGGGTATAGGGCAGTAAACAAGAGCTCTGAAAGGGGAAGGAAGCTAGGAGAAAGCCAGCTCCATTAGTCACGCAGCTGCATATCCTGTCACAAAGAACCCCAGTTGAGTAATCGCCCAAAATATGCCTGTTATTTTTTTTCTGTCAGAAAAAAATGGGGCTTGCCAAAATGTACTGTAAAAAAGAAAAAATCTGGTCTGTCAGCCCCAGGGGGGGGAAAGGAAAGGAAAGAAGAAACAGGCGTAACTTCTCAGCACGCCCTGACCCTCTCCCAACTTATCCTTAAAAGAAAACGCCTTCAGACTCCTCACAGCAATGGAGCTTGTCTTGAGAAAGGCTGGCTCTGCGAGGTGTTCCAGGTGTCAGGATCCCTGCGGGCTGCGGTGCCAAGAGGTGGCGGTGGCGGGGGG